CACCTCAAGGAGACATGATCCTAGGACAAGAAAAACTTGCTTATAATTTTTTACTATCCTTCTATCATCCTTTTCCCTGATTCACTACCATTGTTCTAGGCTCACGTGTTTGCATTTCTGCATCGGTCCTGTCTATTGAGTCTCATGTAGAACTTGAACTATAATTCCACAAAAGCCAGCACCAACAGACGGGGTCTTCCAAAGACATATAAAGCTTCCAGAGGGGTGCAAAACAAAGGCATTGGCTGGTCCTCCTTTTAACGTGTTAATTTATGATCCAAAACCACGTAAAGAAAAGCAAGCTATAAAGTCCCACTCTACAGAAAGGAAGGCCAGCATTCCATGACACAGGCAACAGGGATTTATCTCAAACTATGAGTCCACTGGCTGCTTTCTAATCATTGTCAGAAAGAAGGGCCACTGCCATACCTGCCATCCTGGAAACAACATCTTCATTTCCCTAAATTACAACTGGCTGATTTGAAAAGTTACCACTTTCAGTAACTTAGCGAAACTCCTCAGCATATCTCAGAAGCTACAGCAGGAAGTAGCATTGCTAAACAGTAGACCTGCTGCAGCTGTCTTCTAGAGACTCTTTTGGCCATGGTGTGCCTGTTTCATTTGCTTTGGAAAGTCTCAGGCTAAGTCACCCCAGCCTTATCATAGGAGGCAGAACAATGGCGAGAGTGCCAGCCAGTCCTCCAGCACTGGGACACATCTGAAGAAACATCTCATGAGAAACTGGCCACTGCCTTGGCCTGTCTTGGATGGTGGCTGCCATCATCCCTGGGGTGGCAGGTGTCTTGATAGATGCCTTCTTTTCGTAGAAAGATGTTAACCTATGCAACGGTTAATTTTATGAGTCAACTTGACTCTAACAGAGTACCCAAATTAAACATTATCTCTGGGTGTGTCTGTGAGGGTGTCTGGATGAGATGAGCATTTGAATCAGTGGACTCAGTAAAGTACATGACCCTCCCCAGCATGGATGGACACCATCCAACCTCTGGAAGAATAGAACAGAAAAGCAGGGGAAGAAGAGTTTGCCCCTTTTGCTTCCTCCCTGGTTGCCTGAGTTGGAATAATGGTCTTCTCCTGAACTTGGACTGGAATTGCACCACTGCCATTCCTGGATCTCCAGCTCGCAGACGGGAGATCATGAGACTTCTCACTTTCCACAGTCACATGAGTCCATTCCTTGTACTAAGTCCTTTCCTTCCACATAGGAAGGACTTATTATATATGGAAGGAAAAGACTTACTATGGATGGAATTGTTTCCATCTATAAGGAAACACTCATTAAAAAATACTATATATACACAAATA